AACTTTTCTACGACATTCTAATTTATTGAGATGCACCTGTATATGTTACAATGCATAAGACAATAAAGACTTTTATTGGACTCTTGACAGAAATGCTGTCTGTGTGTCTGAAGGGGTTAAATGGAATCAGTAGGAGAAGGAAGGAAGTTTTATTTCCCGTCAGGGTTTTTTCTGTTGTTCTGTCGGTAAACGAGGTCGCTCGTAAACTGATCAGTCTGAAGAATCGGTAAGTAAGCAGGTTAAAGTACGTTATTTTGCTTAGATACAAACTTTTTCCCCCGGCGTTTAATAGGATAAATTCGTCCTACGTAGTGAACAATAATTAAATAATTCGGATAATTCGCTGTCATGATGGCTGTTTCTCAAAATCTGGCAAGCTGCCTACCTACGCAACGTTATAGGCTATATCGTCTTAAAATCTATCTAGCAATCTATCTGCTTATACAGGATTTTTGGATCTTATCTAAAAAATATATAAGTGGCGTTGGAAATAGCATTCATTCGACGCTACTGTTTATATATCTTGCTGTTTATGTTTACTGAATGCATTTACGACATTAAAGTTTGTGAAGAATGGTATACAGTCCAGTTCGATGTATATTATGTATTCATATATTAATATTTAGCCGAACATCCGATACAGTAGCACACAGGACAGTAAGGAAGGTGCGTGATAAATCACACCTGTTGTGTATAACTAGATTCAAGAACAGCATAATTAAATTTCAATGGTATTTTTAAACCACATCATGTATATACAGTAAACAATGTTAAGCAAACTATAACATTGACTTGAGATTTTCAACCTTAATCAGGAAATGAGAGGCAGGTTTGACGAGGTAGTCCATATGGCTCATGTATTTTTTACTTCCTTGTTGTTACAGCATAAAGGTGAGCCTCATATTTCTGTGAGATATGGCCTCTTCAATGACTACTGAGGCGAATGGAGTGAGGGTAGTGACTCATGTTATCCCACTGGAGGAAAAAACGGAGTCTTCGGACCTAAAGTCAAGCTCGGTTGAACTTGAAAAGTCCAACCTGTCACCAAAAACCAAGATGTTCCTAAAGGGGAAGCCTCTGTCGCTGGGGGTGAGAGCTGGACACACAGTTTCACAGCAATATTGAATATAAGTTAAGCTTTGTTGACCACAGAAAATAATTCTTTTTAGCCCTCAGCATCTTTGTAACAGATGCAGTTCATCATTTATGTTCATTTTAAATAGACTTTCACTTAATCGTCCTCCTACTGTTTTGAGGAAAGTGATTCAGGACTGCCAGATCTAAAGTATATTTTACTGAAGTGTTTGTGTGTGTTTGTGCAGTTGGTGCAGGTGTTTATTGGTTTGGTGGTCATGACTCTGTGCACCATCACGGTGCTTGTGGATATGCTGAATGTTAGGACTGTAATGTCCCTTGGACTTCCTGTGAGTAAACATTTTGAGCCCTAATAACACAAAATATTAGCATTTTTACACAATAAATAGATGCACAATAAATGTCACTGAAATATCAATTAATAAATATGATCAGGAGGCGGTGGGAGAGGGGTGGAAATCTTCAGAAATTTTCCAAA